GTGAGGATTCAGCCGCGACACCGCACCCAGGAATTGGTCCAAGGTATGTAAGTGAAACTCATCCGGGAAAACCTGGGTAATTATCTCTAGAAGATATTCTTGGGCCAAGACGTCCCGGCACTGCACTACCTGTTCCAGTAGCGGGGCCAGGATACCGTTCTTGTAAGCCTCGAGATCCACCAATTGGCTCAGCCGTTCAATGTTGTTGCCCACGAGAAGCTTGAGCTCCTTGCGCTCCTTAGTCCTCTGGTCCCGCTCCCGCGAATGACCTTGATGCTGTAATCGTACCCAGAGCTTGTTCATTTCGACGAAATTCGTTAGGATGAAGTTGATCGAGTCCTGGAGGTTTCCTTCAGGGCCATCGCCATCGCCGGCAGGCAGGCAATCCCTAGCTTGGCCGGATAAGTAATAACGAAGAAATAGACCACGGATAGGATGCTGGACACCACGGCTCATATCCATCATGTCCTTCATTAACTCCTTGACCGGCGCTTCGGGTATAGACATATATGCGGTACCGACGGTTATCATGAGATATAAACGCGGAATGATGTTACCAGCATATTGGACGAGCTCGTAGAGGTCGGCGAGGTGATTATGGGGATGATTCTCGCGAAGATGTACCGAAAGATAGCGCAATGCATCGAAGACGGCCATATATAACTCGTAGTATTGCTTGGGGCCTAGGCTACTTGTCCGCAGCTCGGCGACTAAGGTAGAGCTTCATTATATACCTATTAGCTAGTTGCTAGAGCGATACAAGCCGGGTGGGCAGCAAATTGCCGTAGCAATTAGATTATGATAAGACATACCAGCACTTAAGAGCATCCATAAGTTTGCCAGGGGTGTCGAGACATTTGCGCATGAGTGCGGTCTGCTGGCGCACAGCAACCAAGGCATCTTCCAGCAATCTCGCCTGGTCCTCAGGCGGAACGGGTGTAGTAGACATTTTGGAGCGTTATGTCGATAATGATGGCCGAGTGTGTAAAGGAAAGGAATACGGTAAAAGCTCAATAATATCTCGCGCAAGTCATTGGGTCGCCGTTCGCTGAATTTGATGTCGAGGTGCAGGAAGAGCCTGCTGCAAGCAAGGGGTTCTTAAGAAATCGGGATGCCTGGCGCAGTTGATGTTAGCGGGACAGATTCCATAGGTACAGAAATACAGCAGTCAAGTCCGCGGAAGCAATTCGTCAGCCCAGCCACATGTCAGACAGCCAGACAGCCAGACAGCCACAGGGGTTCCTAGCTCGAGTTAGCTCTTATCCATTTCAACCGCACGTGCCACGAATTCTATCTTTACCAACTAAAAGCATTTCAAAGTTTCTATCTCTAACTTTTCTTGGATATATGGTAGGTATATGTATAGAGGTGGGATGATTCTTTCACATCTGTTAATAAAGCCTATTTGACTTCTAAATACGGTTAATTAATAACACTTCAAAATAGATGTCATGATCCCTTCAAGTAGCAGCAGCCCACAACACGGCGCATCGCCAATAAAAGTATACAAACAGGTATGGCTTGATTAAGTTAAAGCACCCTTACAAGGGCCACCTTAATAAAGACCACCTCAAATTTTTAAACCTTTAAAATAAATACCTTAACTTTAATTTAACGTTATTTAATTAAATTAAATTTAATTAATTTATAATCTATTATATTTTAATAATAATATAATCCTTTACTATTAATTTAATTAATAAAACTTCATCTTTTAAATTAATATTAAAATTATTAATTATAATTATATTACCTAATTCTTAAACTTTTAACTACTCTTTTTTTTTTATAATAATTTTAATATTTATAAACGTTAAATTTAGATTAAATAATACTTTACACCATTTTTACAGTTTTATATTTATTAATACCTTTTTTAAATATTTAGCGCAAACCTCTATTATAACTAATTTCATAATAATTTTATTAAAAATCTTATTAATTTTATTAAATAAAAATTTTATTACAAATTTAACAAACATTATATTAATCTTAAATAATTTTTTAACTAAAATATTAATATTTTATAAACTTAAAAACATTACTAAAAAAAATTAAAATTATATTTTTAATAAAATTAAACTTTTTTAAATTAAAAATAAAGCCTAAAAAAGCTGAAATAATATTAAAAACCTTTTAAAACATAAACTAATAATTTAATAATTTATTTTAATCTTTAAAATAAATCTTTATAACCTTTTAACCAATTAATATATTATATTTAATTAAATATTCTTTTTATATTATTTAATAAATTATAATAAATTCCCTTTTACCAAAATTAAAAATATAATATAATTAACATATTTTAATAAATTTACAATAATAACTTTATTTCATTAATAAAAATATACCCACATTAATAACTTATAAAACATACAATAAATATACCAAAATAAAAATAACATAAACCTTATTTATAAAACATTCCCAAAAAAATTCTATCATAATATAACTACCATAACCATCAAAAATTAATAATCGCCATTATTAACAATTTAATAACCTTATTTTTTTTAAAAAAAACTTTACAAAACTATTTAAATATAATATCATTATTAATTCAACTATTAAAAAACATAATAAACTTCTAACCCTTAAATCTAACATCCTTATCGTTAAAAAACCACTATTATTATACGTATTTACCTATATATATAATAAAAAAATTTAAAAATCAACCATTACCACTAATATATTTAATAATCAACATTTAAATCTTATTACTATAATCTTTAACCATAATACGCTTCTTATAAACCTCGCCAATAATTATCCCATTATCCCTAACCCCTTCCATAATCCCCATCTTATCAATACTATATATATACCTAACCAAAATATTTTTAATCCTAAAAATCTTAAATTAATTAAAAAAAATATTAATATTATTAATTATAACCCTATTAATTCGTTTATAATTAATTAAATAAACCTTAACCAATTTAATATTAAAATAATAAAATAAAAATTGTATATATTAATATTTATTAAAAATATTAAACCAATAATTATAAACTAATAATTTTCTTGTAATATTTTTAAATTAATATAAAAAAAACATATAACTAATATAATTTAACGTAATAACCCAATTAATTAATTCTTTTTTTTAATATTTTAATAACTTCTAACATTCCTTTAAATAATTATTTTGTATTTTACAACCTAATATTTAATCCATAAAATAATATTATAATATAAAATATTTTTTAAACGCCTACCGCAAAGATACGCCATCAAAAACGTTATTTATCGCCACAATACAACGCAATTAAGCTAAAAAAATAAACATTTTAAAATCGTAAAAAAATAAAAATTTAAATAATAAATTTTATTTTTTAATTAATTAAAAATTAATAAAATTATATAATAATTTATATATAAACCTCATCGCAAACGCGTCGCGTTTTTAAGGTGGCCCCCACTAAGGTAGCCCCCGTAAGGGTACTTTGACTTATTACTATTAACTATGACAATACTAACTACAGAAGATATCATATCGCTTCCAATAGGTGACAGAACGACTAGAAGGTAAAGTTGCTTACCTTAGGTACCTAAATATCGTACACTTGTAGGACCTATGCTTGCAAAGCCAGAATATCTTATAATCACATCTATCAAACAAACAGACAAGTGGTACTTTTGGAGCACGTGGAGCCAAGTAGACACAAAATGCTATAATGCCTCAAGGTAGGTGGTCGTAAATAGGTTCCTTTACGAGGCAATTGTTCTTAAAACGCCTCAAACTCAGCTCCTCGCGGAACAACGAAGTTGTTTCCCTACTGTTTAGTTCCACCTCGTGACAACTATCAGCATTAGTCACTGAACCTAGGTTGTTTACAATTAATATTTCACCTAGTGGGTATGGGGTTTTCTCTTGCTGTAAAATAAACTACCATCGCATCTTTAAGTAGAAAGCATCTAATAAATTTACATAAATTATAAAGAATTAAGACTCAACTGAATTAGGCTATGTTTCTATGTCTTGCTGCTTGTTTGATAAACTCAGTTTTCAAGTTATTTCCATTCCTAGAGCAATTAAGAAATATTTAAAGCAGCCATTTCTTATCGTAGTTCTTTATGAGTATAATCTGCATTCTTTCTTTTTAGATTCCCTCGTTTACGTTTAATTCCTCAGTAATACCATCAGTAATCCTCTACTCAACCTTTAGCATTGGTCTTATTCTATTGCTAAGCATTAAGAAGCAACGCCCTTATTCCATACGTCCCTCGGTACTATCCCTTAAGTCCATATACACTAAAAGTCAAATAATAAACCATCTCCTTAATCAACATTATGGTCAAGCGATTTACTCGTAAAACCTTAACGTTTAAATAAGTCTATAACATACCTCTTAAATAATGCTACGTTTCACAGTTGGTATTTAAGTCACAATATTGTATGATAGTTGCTTAACCAGGTACCTACATGTGAAGGAGGTGTCTCGCAGCAGCCCCCAAGGCTTTGATATTCTGGAGGTTAATCCTTAATTACAGCGCAGGGCATGATGATTCAATAGACAGCGTTAATACGCTTCCACTTACAAATAAATTTGGTGCTTTGGGTATATTTAAGTTGAGGGGTATACTGTACTGTACTTTATTGTACCATTTTTAGTTATTGTCCTTCGCTATTCTGGCTGCTGAAAATGGAGCTCTACATCAGCTAATTTCATATTTTATAACAGCGTGTTCTCACTGTTTCATTGGCCGACATCTTCTTGACACAAGTAGAGTTAAGAAATTAACCTGACTACATAGAGGCCTCGGGCTGGTATAATTTCCGTGAGTCCGCGTTCTACCCGGAAATCGATGAGATACACGGAAGCCGTCGGAGATTACATACCTCAAGGCCCGCATATGCCGTCTAGGCCATCCGTATGTAGTTGACAAGATTACTGTGCCTCTTGCATAAGCCTGCAGGAACGGAACGATCACCTCGACACGTTAGAGGTGGCTTTACTGATACTGAGTAAACACACTACATAGTTAGCTAAATAAATACATCATCTCATCACCCTTACATCAGTAACTCCCATAAATAACGTAAGATAGGTACTGACTACCCCGCTAGCGTTGGTCGTCTATATGCCTAGGCCATCGGCACCGAACTTCCTATCACGTCTTAGCTGGTCTACACTTTACGTACTAGACGCCTCTGCATAAGCTGGTTACGTCTCTCCATCTCGGCCTCCTTCTCCCACTCCATGCGACTGAAGTGCTGGAAGAGCCGTTCAGTCTTGAGCTGTTCGTTGATGCGGAGGCGATCCCAGGCGTGGACTCTATCGCCTGCCAGACCCGCGGGGTCTGCGTTACTGCAAACTTCTTCAAACCACTGTCTTTGGTAGCGCTGATCCCCATCAAGGCGCGCGGCGAGGTACGCTTCCTTGAGATCCTGCCAACCCGTTGATCCGCCCACGTCCTCAGCCGCACAATGACCGGCACCGTCGATGCACACGAAGTCGTGCGTAGCATCGTCGTGTCCTAAGAGCGTCATTTCGTGCTCCCAGCCGTCGCCGAAGTCGTAATTATAGACCATCTTATAGCTGGCGTACTTCGGGTCATCGAAGAAGTTGCACAACATAAAAGAACTAGCTTTCTTCTCTATGGGTTTAGGGCGTTGTAGGGCCCAGGATGGCTGAAAGTCGAACTCGAAGGACTCATCCTCCATGTTGGGGTCGACAACACGGAGTAGGGGTTGATCTGGGAAAGATGGGCCAGGCTGTTGCTCGGACCTGGGATTCGTCCACATTTCTCGGAACACGGCTATCTCTTCGGGCGAAGGTATATGAGAGGCCTCGAACCCAAAGCAATGGGTAGTCGCCAAGCCAAAAGCGACTTGTAGGGCCATGTGCAGATGATGGAAAACAGCGTCGGCGGGACAGGAGAGAGTGCGGAAGATAGGCGGGTCTGTGATCTCCTTGGGTGATAGCTCGAACTTCACAATGTAGTTCTGAGGAACGCATCTTTTTCTATGCGTTGGCCAAAAGGCGGCCTGGCAATCTAAGGCGGGAGCCCGGTTTTCGAAGGCAATACATTTGCCGGTACTTCCATAATGGGTAGCATCGATTATCCTGGTTGGCTAGAGTCTACGTATATATATATAGATAGTCCGCCGGTCGAAATCAAACCTACATCTTAGCTGTATATTTCGTCCTATTGTTCTAGTAAAAAGCAATATTTGTACTACATACCTATTTTCTTTCCTGCCATTTATCACTTATTATTTATCGTTTATTATATCTCATTTTCATTTATTCTTCTATCATCGAGATTGATAAGCCATGCTAACAAACCACGAGAACAAGCGATTCGTTTAATTATACTGTGTGATCTACTTCATTATTAGGTACTTATACGGTAACCAGCCGGTGAAGCCAGACACCCTCCCGATGCTTATATCCGCGTTTCCCGTTATCAATTTTACTTGATCCACCTACATAACTAGGTACCGCATACCATCTCTATGCGATTACTTTGGATACTCTTGCGAATAGAGATGCTGGTAGGACATTACTGACCTAGCAGCTCTTGAGCTATTTGAATCCTCTCTTCTTCGCTCAGCTCATGGCTCCTGACCTTCTCCGCCTTAGTAGCATCAAACCGCCACACACCGCCCGTCTTGTCCGCATCGCCGTTTGTGTTTAGTCCCACGTTGGGACCTAATGCTCCGAGAGTCAAATCTGGTTCAGTGAGAGCAGTGAAATATCTCCGCTCCCACTCCCGACCCTCTGATTGCTCCTTTTTCCGCATTGCCCGCTGCGCCTGCTCGATCTTGCTCTTCTCCTTACCGACGTAATCCATATCCCCTTTGGCAATGCCCGCCGCGACGTTAGCCCACGCGCGTCGAGACTCCAACGGGTGCTGCTTCTCGAGAGGTGCAATCTTGAGTTCGGTTGTGGGATTGTCGGTAGGATCCCAACTTTCAATGAAATTCTTAGGCGAGTTACTCTTCACCGGGCCGGTATGGATCTCAAACGCCTTGGTCCATTGGCCAGAGCAATTGTAGAGTACGTCCTTTTCCTTGCCGGTTGGATACAGAGTAGCCGTAAATGAATTCTTCTTGCCACTTATCCAGCCCTTGCCACTGTAGTCTATTTTAGCAGTAAACCCTGCCGACGATGTGATATAAGAGGCGCCCTCGAGCTCAATGAAAGGGGCGCCAAAAATTAGACCTTCAACGTGAAGGGATGGTAGTGTGATCAAATAGGTATCTTTCTCTCCGGGCTTAGAGGGGTTGGGAACTGTCAACACTGCGTGTCCTATCTGCTTGATATTGATAGTCTTGGAGAAGCTGGCCTTTTGGGCGTTGTATCCTTGGAGATGAACTCCGGAGGTTTCATTGATAATACTGTATGCTGTTGCTGGCGGGTGGTGGCTAAACCGTAGAGTTAGCCCAAATATTTCCAGGTTTGCTTCTAAATATTGCTGGGTTTGGTTGCGCCAAACTTACTTCACCTGCTCACTGATCAACTCTGTTGTGCCTGCGGCGTCTTCCCACTTCCCCAGAAAGATTTCGCCCAAAAAGGGGTTGAGAGGCTTTTTCTCATTGCCATATTGCTCGCTGCGACTGGCATATTGTTGCTTAAGCGTAGTTAAAAACCACTTGAGCACTAGCAAGGCCCTCTTTGCGGGGTCCGGCTCCTTCGATGGTGCTGCGAAAACGCTAGGATGTTCAGCCCAGTACGAACTGAACTCAGTAAGACTCGTAGAGGAGAGGATGAAGGGCGGGGCTGTGAGAGAGGAGAGGTCGCCGTTGAAAGAAGCAATAGACTAATCGCGAGATGGTCAGCTTGGAGTAGAATAAAATGAGAAACGCTAAGTCAGGTCAACTTACCTTGAGGAACGCAGCCCAACTAGAGCCAGTGGCCTGGGCATTTGGTGTAACTTCTGACATCGTCGTGCCGGTTTTAAGACGTCGCCTCCGTACAGGGCAAGTTCACAGACACCACGTAGTTCAGATGATATACTGTGTGATTAGGAGAACCCTCCGTATTTCAAAGTCCGATGAGGCTGGTTTCGAGTGCGCGAAAGACGGCGGGCCGACAGAATAATAAATTCTGGCGGGGATACAGAGTTCTACAAGCAATCGGAAGCTAAAAAGGGGCGGAAAGTTGGGCTACTCCTTATCCCTGATAAAATTTATCTAGGTATTATAACAATATAAGGCGTATTGTTTTCGGAAGATGCGGGAGAAGTTGGAATGACAAGCCAAAAACGGATTGTATTCTTTTAGTTGTGCAAAAGCAGAGCTGGCAGCATAGATGAGTAATATAATAATTTGGAGAGAAGGGGTATTTGGGATTTGACGTCAAAAAAGCAAAAAAAAAAAAAAAGTCTCCAAGGTAAAGTTCCCCCCACACGTCATCGACCATGCCATTGACTGGCTTGGTTAGGTACCTACCTTGACATTATCCCTGCTTAGGTAGATACGTGGATTGGTGGGATCTATAAACGACTTAAATCGCGTGCCCAACTTTTTTTTAGCTTATCACTAAGCTACATGTACGCTATCTAACTACATGTACTAGTACGTACATACTAAGTATCCAAATACATGAACAATCAAAGACGCATTCAAAGTTTACCTAGGTGCCTCATATAATGCAAAGCCAAATATATTAATCTTCCCATATCAATGAGGAATATACCCTCTAGAATGTTCCTGGAAAACCTATATCTAGAAAGTTAAGTTTGATGTACCTAAAGTATACCTACGATTAACTCGTTGGGGACCTGAAATAAAAAGGTACCTACATGTAACCACCCCCTTTCCTTATCCTGCCCTAAGACCTGTGACGTTGGCCTGTATTTTACCTGCGAATTCCACTAGCTTTGCAGCGTCATATTGCATTTCGATATATTTGCCAGCAATTGCCCCAAACTAACACTTGCTACCCACATGCATTTAGCTATATGCTCGGAATATTATGATGTCTTGCATTCGTCGTTCATAAAAATACAGGAATATACAGTTGGATCCAATTAGGATTAAGAAGCTTCATTATAAATTACATTCCATCCCGGGTATCATTCCAAGTCACGTGTCCCCTTCCCTCTGCGAAGTCTATGTAGAACGCCGCCCGTCTAAACAGTGCGTCTCTGCTGAATGAGACAGTTTGTTCATGTTATACCGACCCATACATATATATAACAGAATACCGGAGATTGAAAGAGACATAAAGGTCCTACGCCGGGCCGTGACATGAGTCTTCTAGCTTCTGGGCTAGCTGCCCGTTTATACCAGAAAACCGACCCTCGGCCACTTCTCCTAGGATCGCCCATCGCGCAGTGTGGCATTGTTGACGTCCTGGATCAAATGTCCAAGCCAAGCATTCTGTCGAGTGATCATGGCAAATTTGGACACAGGCATCAACTTCCGCGACCTTGTCTACGGTCTTGCTATACTCGTCTAGGCGTCCTACATAGTCCACGTTAGATCGAATCGGTTCGGCGATGAACGAACCGAAGTTCGGAGCGCCATATATCTTCCCCAACTGTCTCCAAAACACGGGCTCCGTCATATTCTTGAACGTATCGCCTACGTGTAGCATAGCGTCGTCGTTGCCGAGGCCGTGGAACGATACTAAGGGCAGACAGAATCTGTCGACCCACATCCGCGTCATCCAGGGGGGTTCGCCATTGAACAGGCGTCGGTATGTCTCATCAAGATATATGCCTATTTTCATAAACGTCGTAGAAAGTAGCTTATCGCCCCAGATTGCCGTAGCTGACTCCTGATGGCCCTCAGCAACGACCTCGGGGTGTTCTTCGTACAGCTTGCTCAGAGCAGCACCGGACATAACTACAGATGATCCGCCGTGTGGAAAACGACCTTTGTAGTCGCCTACAGGATTGCCAATGAACTGCGGTTTGCCGTAGTTCAAGTGTCCCAGGAGCAAGGCCAAGGATGATTTTATGATATACGTGTCGTCGTCCAACATTACGTACCACTTCTTTTTCGGCATGGTGTGCCAAATATATTCGAGACTTGAGAGAAACTGAACCGCATGTTAGTAAGTGTTGGCTCGACCCATAATTGAGGTATATCAAACCTTCATCGCATCCAGTTCCCATCCCATGTCTTTGCCTAACGTATCAGCCAGCATCCACTCTTCGCCGTCAACAGCATCAGCAAGATTGATATATTTCATCACGCGCTCCTGCTGTTCTTGGCCCCTTAAAGAGCCTCGTTCTATGTTCCACCCAATGATATCGATGACCGGCACTTCTTTCCCACTAGCCAATGTATAATTCTTCTGGTCCGGGAACAGAGGAAAATCCTGAACAACAATAGTATCCGCATTTAAGGACTCGCTACTCAACGCTTGCAGCGCCGCTGATACCCGTTGTTTCGTTCCAAATCCTGTCTTGATTACTATGCCGATATCATTATTGGGGTCGATGGGGTAGGATTGCGGCTTGAAGAGCCAGGAATCGCTCGGGATGGCATTCTGGTAATAATCTTGCATGACATTATGTTGAAACCGGAAGAAGGATCTTGGTCGGCTGTCATATGGTGTTAAACTATAAAGAATGAACAGGAAAACCAAAGCACCCAAACCAATTTTTTGCGGGCGAGACATGCGCGTGATGCAAGAGCGGATCGATCTTCGTTCGGCGATCCCCATCGTGATAGTGGGTGTTAGTTACTGTTGTCGATTATGTCCGTGCGACCGAGACCAGCAGCCAAACGATGCTGGTTGACAAGACGGAGAACATGCGTAGTTATCAAAAAAACGAAAGTCTGGAACGATTGTCAATGTTCTCGTAGACAAATCAAAATTGGAAAGTAGGGGAAGTTAAGAAAGGGGGGATACAGGTTTCTAATGCTGACCCCAGTATGAGAAAAAAGGAAAATGAGAACTGAGAACTGAGAACTTTTTTAGAAACTTGATGAGAGGTAAAGTAAAGATGTATTGAGTTCTCGATATGCGGGGGGATTAAGAGGTTTAGTGACGTCCAGGTTCAGCTAATTCTAGGAAATGATGGGCGTTATTGCGGAACCGAGTGCTAAAATTGACCAACCAAGCGATAACTAATGCAGCCACGTCCCACTAAAGCTCACTAAGAAAACCTGCATTGTACAACAGCCGGACCCAGCGCATGTACTATAAATGGCCCTGCTGGGTGAGGATTACGCGTTCCCAAAGGTAAAGCTTCTAGGGGTACGATTGAACCTTATCCCTGTTACCTAGCATGGTACATACATATACATACATGTACCCAATCCGTACATGTGGTAGGTATTTAACAATCTCCCAAAGGGCCAATAATATCACGTGAATTATACTGCCGTGTCTGTCTCTCAATAATATTTCGGTTTTAAGAGCAACTCTATACATGACCTCGAGTAGATGTTAGCAATTGCACAAAGGAGTTATGAATATTAGATTAGATAAAAATACTACAGTGATACATATTTAGAAATAAGTTATAGTTATAAAAATATGTAACTAGTTAGTTATACATAACTATACATAGCTTAGGATCGCACATAGCTCTAGGTTAATAGGTGAGGCGATCATCGAGCCACCGAGTGCGGGAACTGGATCAAAGTCTAGGCCAACACTACGTATTCACAATTATGCGGGGCGAATTAAAGGACGAGGACCTACAGGACTTACGTATCAAAGACTACTGCATCAACTACTACTAGATAAACGAGTCGATAGCTGTATTATATTGTTGCCAGGTCGCTGTTCTACCACAACATCGTAGGCTTATCTTCAAAAGTAATCAGCTTCTTTCGCCCCACTAGACTTGCCCAGGCCAGTAATGAGCTAGGTTAGACATTACAAGGGCATCTAACGGTTATAAGCCCTAAGGCTGAACCTCTAATCTTTCTTCATTAACTACTGATCTCTTTCAACTACCTATCTATTGATCCGAAGACGACATGTTACAATTCCTAGAGCCTTCGGGCCCTCCCATCACATCACTCATCATGAGAGGGATTGGGTACTTAATCCTGGCCAGCTTGCTGTTCTTCTTTTTTTGCTTGTATCAAGCTCGAATGATGTTTCGGCGAGTTCAAAAACAACATGGAATTGTGAGTAACTTCTAATATTCGGCCGTAGAGGCTTCCAAAAGCCATTAAGAAACTATATTCCTATCGAGTAGATACATATCTTCCTACAATAATAACCATCTGTAGCCAATTATGCCCCATTCGTTTATTTTTGGTCACCTTTGGACGCTGGCTAAGATTAGCATCAAATAGTATGTATAAAACACGTCCTAATACCCCACAGTCTACTATGTAAACTACCTTAGTAGGTAGTAATTAAAACCTAATAGTAAAATCCCACGAGACGGTCATGGCCAATGGATGTTTCTTTACATCAAGCAAGAATACCCTGAGATTGCAAATCAGGGTCTTGTTTACATGGACGTGTGGCCGATCGGCTACCCGATGCTTGCGGTCTATCATCCCAATATGATGGCGCAATTCATTCAGGAGAACAGTCTACCTAAATTCTGGGCTATGTCCCAAGTTGAATTCAAGGGCTTCACAGGAGGTCAAGACCTAGTGAATCTAGACGGCCTAGAATGGAAAAAAGCTCGAAGCCTATTTAATCCTGGCTTCTCGGCGAAGAATTTATTGTCTCTAGTCCCTGATATGATAGAGGAAGTATTAATCTTCCGAGAACGGCTTAGGAAAGTTGCCACTACCGGAGAAGTTATCAAACTCGAAGATTATACGACCAATATAACTGTCGACATAGTTGGGCGCGCTGTACTGTAAGTGTGAACAAAGCGATTCTATTTTTCGAAACTTAACGCTTAATGCAACAATAGGGGAACGCGTCTACAAACGCAGGTTAAGCCAAATCACTTGATGGAAACGATGAAATCTCAAGTAGGCCTAATCTATTTTGGACTCGACCTTCCCAAGCAACTAAATCTAATTCTTCCGTTGAAAAACTGGATATACAATCGCATGATCCGTAATGAGTTGGCCCCTTACATTCTCAACACGGCTCAGAATTACGAGAAAATCGAAGGGCCTAAAACTATTGTCGCCCTAGCTCTAAAGGAATACATCAATGAGGTACAAGATTACACCGCAAGAGAAAATATCCCATCTGAGTTTGTTGAACGGGTTATAAAACATATCAAGATCTTCATGTTCGCCGGACACGATACTACTGCTACGGTTCTTGCGTATATATACTACATGCTTAGCAAACATCCAGACAAAGCAGCTAAGATACGTGCCGAACACGACGAAGTATTGGGTACCGACCCAACTGCCGCTGCTAGCTTGATTAGAGCCGATCCTACATTGCTAAATAAGTTGCCGTACACGATGGCCGTTCTCAAGGAAACACTCCGCCTATTTCCGCCTGTGGGTGGCAGCATCCGCCAATCACCACCGGGGCACTTCCTTACGCATCCCGAAACTGGGGTCCGCTATCCAACATACGGCTTCATGATGCACTCCTCTGCAGCAACGGTATTGCGTGACCCAGAATACTGGCCCGACGCTGACTCGTTCATTCCGGAGCGATTCACGACGCGCGACGAGAGCGATCCCTTGCACCCAGTGAAAAACACCTGGCGACCATTTGAGATGGGACCTCGGAATTGCATCGGTCAGGAACTGGTTTTTGTCGAGGTGCGGCTGATCCTCGCCCTGACGGTACGCGAATTCGAAGTCGAAGAGACTTACCCAGCAGATGCACCCTCGTGGATGGGCTTCAAAGCGTACCAGATCACTCATCCAGAAGTTGTTTCCACGGCTCATCCCAAGGATGGTCTTCCCGTAAGGGTCAAGTCCAGGAGCCAAGGCGATTAGGCTAGTTCGTTCTTATGTATATCGTGAAAAAGACTAGCATATCTTCGTGTACATAATGAATTACTATCTGCAATACATTGAAAGTTAATGATTTACTTACTCAAATCAGCCAAGCTGATGCGGTCTGAAACTACCCCTGGATCGTATATTCGTAAGTATAAATGTCTAACTCCTTATTATGAGAAATTCGAGTAATAAACATACTCCAAAATAAGGTCCGTCTTCTTCGTAGAGCCTAGCATCGTTGTCCTTGGCCGAATATCATGGATTCCCACGCCAACCAGTTTGGTTTAGGAAACCATATGATAGTTACTATAATCAACACCTACAGAGCATCAATCTAGATACTACTCTAATTATAAAGTAAGCTACGGTTGTCTAGATCTCGAGGTCATCTGAGGTGCGAGTAAACAAATATGATATGCAACAAGCGCTCGCGACTATTACAATCGATTATCTACTGCTCAAAGCTGTTTCTCATCTGGATTTTAAGACCGTCGAGGTAATAGTCTAGGCGCGGCATATACAGCGTTTCGTACCACTGTAGCAACTCTACCACGTTGTCAAATACTTCTGTCCCATACTGGCCTTGATCAGCCACGTACCTCCATGCCCACTCCTTGCCAGTTTCATCCTGTCCGCAGTACGCGACAAAGCATGTTGTCTCGGGGCCCCTACCGCACTCCCATCCGGCCTTGGTCTCCCAATCCTCAAATCGAAACTGTTCAGCCAATTTCCCATCAGGACCAAACACGCGACAAGCAGCTTCTTCCTCACTCTCACCCAGCCCGTCCCAGAAACGCACCTGCTGGCCCTCCTCTCGATACTGCGGCCATCCATGACCCTCGAGACTATCGACCTGGCCCATGAGTACTTCAAAATCCACGGGAAATCTGAGCTCAGGATCTATCCTGCGTAGTTCCGTTTCTATGCCGTTCTTGTAATCCCGCCTGAGCAGCTCTCGGCGGTTGTCATCGGATCCGATGATCACGCCATCTAGGGCGAAAGCTCGCACTATAGCATCCCACTTGGTCATCACGTCGGCGGGCGCGTTGATCTGGAGCGAAGGGTCTAATTTCTCTCGTCGCGAAATGTAGAGCATATCATAAAAGAGCTGCTGGCACACTTCGGATATGTGGTCGGGGCTTATCGACGCGTTTTCTGCTGCGAGAGCCGCTGTCTCAACATGCTGTACGAAGCGCTGAAAAGCGGTATGATTATGTTGCAACACGCTGGCACGATAATGCGCTAGAGCTGAGAGGATCTCGTCTTCGGAAGGTTGCATCGTTTTTAGCTATGTCTATCACCACGACAGTAACTGTTTCTGCCGTTAATATGTTTTCGTTACTAGGTACCTATGTATAGTAGTTATGATCGTAATGGGCTACGCGATCCTTAGTAGGCCTCTATTGATTAAATTGAAGATGGAGTGAACAGAGAATAGTTGCAGTGGAGAGAGTTTTTGAGGTTTAAATACTAGAATCGACTTCATGATTGTCCAGCATCCCGTAACACCTATGTTACATGATTTGATCACCAGGCATGGATATAGAGTGACTCCATTTATATATCCAATGAACTAAAAGAATCAAACTCGCTACCAGTTCTTACATCTAGACTCTACAATTAAGTCAACATCAACTAGGATCTCAACTAGGCAACCACACGACTGCCTACCAACCAGCATAAAAGACAGTAGCTTTTAGTATACATAATATTGCTCATTAGGCATGCCATTCAGCTAAGGGCCTTGATGTTATCCTAATGATTTTGTTAACAATCTTCACCCTTGGTTGTTGTCTAAGGATCTAAAAGTGGCGCAGGTGATAATTTCGGGATAAAAGAAAGTTACCTAAATTTGTTATTAAAACCAGTGCGGTGCTTTGATCTAAAAATTTTACCTTTCTCCCCGTTGCCTAATTAAAGGCTTAGTCAATAGCCGGATTATTACTGGTTTTAATGTCAATCTTTGGTCATCTTAGCTGGCAGGCCATTGAGACATTTTGGTCGCAAGATTCACGTTGGCAATAGACAGTCTTATCCTTTGTACCTCGGTCAGGATTTGATGCTTACCCTCTTACTTGCCATACGTCAAAGTAGATATGCCAATAGACCCGTTTTCATGTTACAACTCGAATACGGATCCGTATATCTTATATGAAAAGGTTATATCATGACCATATGATAATCATTTGACGAGAAGAGAGCGATGAAACTGTAGTTTATTTGGACTGCGACCAACATCAAACAGTTCCGGTCGACCGGGTAGGAATAAGAACGCTGTGGCTTATATTGCCAGTATTTGGGCGTGTCTAGCGATTTAGACTGCTTTCTGAGCAAGCAAAACAACATAGGAATTCGTTAGAGCTACTAACGAAAAACACTAAATCTTCAATCCTACCCTCGTAGTTCTAGTTATCCCTTAATTATCGAGACATCTGATGATCCTCTTATTCAGAGGGATCATCACAATTCGCATGATCATTCTCCTCCCCGTGACCCTTCTCCAAAATAGCATCGTTGGATAGATCACCCTTGCCTATAGTGTTGTCAATCTTTACGTGATCTTCACTTTCGGGGTTGTCACTACTAGATACGGAACTAGTCTCGGGTTCCGATTCGATTTCTGACTCGATTTCTGAGTCGGTTAGATCAGCTGAAGATTCAAGCTGTCTTCCCAGCTTCTTCTCGGCCCGTGTCATAGTTTTTATTGCCTTATCAATCGCCGAATGTAGGTCCTCGTTAACCTCGGTTTTTATTTCCGCGAGTCGACGCTTCCAGAAACACCATCGCTCAAGACTGTAGCCACTCACACCAGAATATAATGGCCCACCACGGTATGGACGACCTGTGTTCGGACCTTCGGGATAATCTGAAAAGGTATGGAGCAGTGAGTGATTGAGGATAAAACGAGAACTCTCAAATATCCACTCGATCGCAACTCGAATTCTGGTCTCTGCGGTTGGTATGTCTTGGATAGGGGTCAATGGGGTCTCCAGTCCATTTCGAAGTTCCCAGATCAGGTATTTTCCCCATCCCTTTTGCTCGCAATGGAGTCTAGCAATGAAAGAATTGAGGTTCAGCCACTCAGATTCCGTGAACATTAAATCCTCGTTGAGGTTAGGCTTTAGCGTTGGAACTACCAGTGAAGTTAATAACTCATATTCAGACTGGACGGACCGCGGGTACCTACTACGATTCCAGTTGTCTCTCATTGCGATACCTATGCCAGGTAGATTTTTCCACATTTGAGTATCAGCCTAGATGGAGTTAATTAGCGACACGTGATATGAAAATGCGGTATACATACCTTTTTCTGTTTCCCAATTTTCTCTAGCAAGATCACAATCTTAATAAGGACGTCTTGCACTAAAGTACGAGGTGGAACTTGGCTTGCAATATCGATGAGGCTTTCCCAAAATTGCCATACAAAATCTTCTGCCTGTAGTCCCGATGCCTCTGGAGACGAGTATTTGACTAGGGCCTTAACAAAATGACTAGCCGTTTTTATCGGCCTTGTCGTGTGTAATAGTTCCAGTGAAGACACTAGAAGATCAATTATGTGTAGGCCTGTATCTCCCAAGTATCCAGCCTTGCTTTTCAGATGGCTAAAGTCGACTCCATTAGTTCCCGCCATGATCGCAATGGATTCCAGTGAGTAAATATCGCAAGTTTCTAGAGGAGCAAAGAGAATAATCAGTGTTGGATATAAGTTGTAACCTAGTGGATTTGCCTAGTTGAAATCCGAAGAAGTTTCTGGAGTTTGCGAGGAGAGGAATTTGTAAAAACCGTGATTATTTTATCTCAAACCAAAGACCAAGAGCTCATACAAGTTCTATGTACTGTGGGGTATGTGCAGGGGTGACTCACGAATGAGGTACGAAATGCTATGTACCTACATAGGTAGGTAGCTGCAAGGGAAAGGTCTACACAAAGGCCCACTTATTATCTTTCGTACCTTACAGCTTTAAAAACCCCACTTGCCTTCTAAAATTAAAACTCTATTACGTTGAATGATAGATGATGTTTGGTCCTACACGTAGTAACCACAGAGTCATAAGATACTCGGCCTTGATATGATATGAGGCTTTGTAACAGATATTTAGGAATTTCTTGGCTTAGGTACCAAATTTACACTATGTATCTCTTGAGTCACTACCCTTATGTCTCTTACCTCTTAAGATTTTTTTTAAGTTGGAGCTAAGACTTTAATGGTTGCTCTAGATTATGTAAACCTGCACGTGGTTTAGCAAACATCTTTTTAGACAAGTACTTAGGTAACTCAGGTATCTATTTTACAGGTCAGGTAGGTAGTATGGGCCTTTTAACGTATTACTATGTACAAGTAGACTTCTCATATAGAGGGTTAAAAGCTGATAAAATTTCGTTCCTAGCAAGCAAGTTTCAATCCTTCACAATTAGACGTGTGATCAATCTTTGGCCAACCTTCAATTCTTTTCTCTTACCTAGCCCTACAGGATAATCCCTGTTTCCCCACGATCTACCACATCGGACGCGGGTAAATGTGGGGCCTGTTACACCTACGCTTCTTAGTAACGACGATCATTTCCTGTTTTGAAAACAAGGCCAATTACTGGCAATGGCAGGTACCAACAAAGTTAAGATGAAGGAAAAGAACAAGAAAGAGCAGACCAACAAACGAGGGTCGGCTGATCAGCAGGCCGAGAAGGCTAAGAAGCGCCCGCCACCCCTGGATCTTTCTGTCGCCAGGGTTGAAGACGACGAAGAAGACGAATACCGCATGAACACAGCAGACTCAGTGGTAAGAAACCTCTAAGGAGATACTACCGCAGCTTAGAAAATTGACTAATGTATACCGTAGTATTCATGCTCGGAATTAGACCCAGATCATCCCTGCCGTTATCTAAATGCCAAAGATGTGCGGTGTCAAGTCCACAATGCACCATCTAGACAGCTCCCTGGGACGAAATACGCTAAGCCATTTTACAACAACGAGGATCTTGACAACCTGAAGAGCAAAGGTCCAAGACTAGAGTTTCCTCTTCGTAGCGATGGATCATCATATCGACGCGGCCCGCCTGGACCAGTGCGCGCAATCTACAACGAGGACCCCAAGAAGCGTACTAATTTCGACGTGGTTTACCACACTACCACGGACCCCAAGAAATTCAGCGATGACCTCGACATTGCAAAATACAGGCCAAGTAGCAAACGTTGACCTATCTCTGTGAGATTACGACTCAACTTTTGGTTCAATATCCAACCTAGGATGTGTACAATGCGCAAAATTAGGTACTTTTGGCAAATGAGTTTATTCTAGGCAGACTACCAGGAAAGCCGGAATCTTTTCCTCTTTTCTCGATTCGCAATGTGAGTATTATCAAAGCTTTAGTAGCAATGCCACGCTAACTGAGTCTGAAATAGGCTCTCATAATTGCATTCAAAGCCGAATGTAATAAGAAAGCATTACTTATGGCAGTAGTCAGTATCCTGAAATGCAACTGCAGTTAATAATCAAGATTTGTTTGATGTCATTGGCAACGACCTCTGCACAGATCAAATATTCTTTTGTCTTAGGAAGGATTCGCGGGACGAGGGTCAGGCTCTGTCAGAAAATAGAGATTGTACATAATCGTTACTGGGTATAAATCTCGCATGAGCTACATACTCGCCAGGCACTTAATAATAGGCAATTAAGCTTACCATACAATCTGCCACTATGCCTAAATTTTATTTTCAAGGAAAGCTAACTGGGTACTATGGGAAGTCTTGCGATGCTTAGTTCGACTCTCACTCTTTAATTATTTCTTCGTGATCAAGATACCCGATATTTTATCTAGTAATTTCGTGTTAACGACATGTTGGATAGGGGCGTCATTCAGAGATTCCTTGAACAAACTATGAACTTTGATATCACCAATTGATAGAAACAGCACTTGCTTTAAGGGCTAAGTACTCGAGAAAAATGACTAAAGCAGTGTAAGAGTAAGATGGATGATATTGCATTTTGAGATATATACCTAGTATGGTAAACGTAAGGAAATTCTCGTGTTTGAGGCCACTTAGGTTGAACAGAGAAAGTGCAGATGACAAGGATCTACCAAAACGGTCGTGAATCAAGTCAATAGTAGCCCTAGCTAGTACGGAATAGTTGAACCAAAGAAGGCGACCGGCCATGAGTGTAATGGGGTGTAGTCTCTCACCCATGTATTCTATGTAGACCAAAACCTTTCGCTAAGCTACCTAACTCTTTAAGTATCGCCGAGGCTGTAGATATTGTATCACTGGATCTCCGAAAGAAACCGTGCTGTAAACCCACGAATACCGGCTGTTAATAACGGTAGATGCCAATTTGGAAAGCCCCATTAAACCAGGGTATGACAAGGATATTTCAGTTGCTACGCCGTTTTATGTGCTTAAGGCATGTAAAGACTGCCGTTTCTGCGGTTATGAGCAGATAATATTGAAGACGATGATCGTGTGATCACATCTCGCTTCGTGGCCGGTTATTGGTTTATTCATGTTATATGAAACTTGATATATGTAGGTAAAGCAACTGTTTAAAAGTTCAATCGGGAAGGATTGGCTGTTAATAGAACTTACCTTATCCGGATACTTGTGCCTCATTCTTTATGATCTTAATCCTGGTAAAGCTTTCTTAGATGCTTACCTCCGTAAGCCAACCAGGTGCTTGGCGATTGTTGGAACTTTTGAGATTATGGTGTAAATCAATGCTCTATCATAACTTGCTTTTATCTTAAGGGAACTTTTCTAGTCCTGTTCGCATATGAAGAAGAACATGAAAATTAGCAGTTAGCAGTTATGCTTTATAACTACCTAAGGCACGGATTATACACGACTACTATACTCCACTTGCTCCATAGGGCTGCGCGCATAGGCTCGCCTAACTAGTCAGCTACCGATGAATGCGGTAATGGAGTAGCTGAATACTGGCGTCTGATACGTTAAAAGTACGGTCCCGTTCTAGCTGAACAGCCCCTGGTCGTAGGCTTAAACTAATATAGACAGGTGAATGCCGATCTTGATCTCCCCAGGGGCACAGGATAGGAATATTTATCTAGGTAGGTACAACGGAAAACCATAACGCTGTTATGCATACCGCTCGTCCTGTATCTCGCGTCTGACAAGGACGCGCATGGTTAATAAGATGAGGAGATATCTGAATTGTTGGGTCAAGGCGATTAATTCATGTATCCCCTTGAGTGTGTTTCCCGTTTCTAGTACTGCGCTAAACATATGGAGCATGGTACGGCTTCATCCATGATATAGAGAACCAACGGCATGTCTTGCAGGTTTGAGAATGCCTTCGTAGAATTCTATAAAACCCACCCAGGACTTCCTTCACTTGGCCATTCTCTCTTACTCTCTACCCGCAGTTTCATCCACTCATTAGACCGCTCGAGTCAGTCTTTCGTTGAGATACTAGTCGCTCATTTTACATTAATCTAATACCTACGTACATATTAATAGCCACTCGATTCAACTTCAACGTGCCAGAAATGAAGTTCACCACTACCATCTCCATCATCGCCGCCTTCTACGGCTTTGCGGCAGCGGCCCCCTCGCCCGCGCACGCATCCGCTCTATTCCCCCGCGAAGACTGTCCCTACGGCGGCAACTGGAACCACTGCGAGCTCAATGGCTTATACGTCGTCTGTGTCAACGGCCACGCTACTAAGTACACTTGCGATGGGGGCTGCCAGGCCATCTGCCCGGAAGGCCAGCCCTGCACACCTCGCTGCGATAATGGCCACCCGGCCTAAAGGATTTGGATATGGAATTGTGCGGGAGATGGCGGAAGTAGAGGGGTTGAATGGGGCCGATTAAGCAGGATCCGAGTTTAGTTCAGTCAAGTCACAGTTGAGAATATAAGCCTTCACAATTAATACTCACAGATTCTCATAACGCTTACCTTACCCTGGTGCATTACGTCGATGAGCTGTTGAATGATTACCCCTTTAGATATTAAAGGCTAGAATAGCATTACTTTTTCATTGTCTTTTTCCTGTTCTGTAATTGTGGTAAAACGATTTTTTATTGATTTTGTATTTTTAGGTAACTATAAACTCCCCTTTCCCCTATTTTTTAATACTTCTTTTTTTAACTTTTACTATTTCTTTTCAAAAAGATTTTCTTGTTTCCTTGTTTATTAAGTCCTCCAAATACACAAGTGCTCTTTCTTTGTCGACAGCACCGTATATGAGTAGGATAAACTTCGTCGCATTTTCATCGGCATATGGCAAACAATATCTAATGTAAAGAAACTACAAATTCAGATATCTTCATATCCCAATAGGAAGAACAGGAGGAACCTTTGCCGTATCATGAACTTATTTTCCTCGAAGGTAAACTACTAGCCTTTTGGCGTCTGCTCTTCTCCTCTCTTCTACCCAGATCTACCCATGTTATTCGAGATACGAGATAACAGCTCTCGTACAGGTATTACTTCCTCGTACTCTTGAACATGTTCCCGTAGATAGGTAATCCAGTCTAGGTCCTGCTCGCTCATACTCCGTTCTATATTCCATTCGTCGACTAGCCCGATTATAATAAGGGCTATGGTATTATCATCGATCTTCAGGATCTCTGCGTCATGACCCTCCCAAATTTTCAGGCTTGAGATCAGTATTTCGTCTCGATGGGCTTCACACTCGCATGTCGCGGGCACGTGTTGAAGGGATTTTGGTAGTCCAAGATCGTCAAACGTTAATATGCAACGCCATTTGAGAGGCTGGATAGTTCTGATATTTGTATACGACATTCTGCCGCGTTTCTGGGTCTTGAAGTAGAAGTGGAAGTGGTTGTTAAGAGGGACTCACTTAGAAGTTGTTGTAAAGTATGTGAACTTATCACTGGGAGATCAGGTAGTTAATGTTGGTAAGCACGCCAATATTATGATGACTCAATAACATGAGAGAGATTCTCGTGGAGGCATAGAGTGTTTATATAGAGATCGCTTTAGAGGACTAAGCATAGTTGTCACGAAACATGTCAGTTATTAACGCAAACAACAAAGAGGCAATTGGATAATATATGTAGCTATTACCCGACACCTTCTTTCTGCTAGAATATTTCAACCATATTGTTATTATTATGTTCTACGTTACAAGGCCGTAGTGTTTATCTGTTATAACAGGTACCTAGGTATGTTACCAACTCCACTGTGAGATCTTTAGATTTCAACGCAGATACAAGTCTCTGCCACCTATGGAATTCAGACAAGGAGTGATCGAAATGTGCTTTCCAATTTGAGTATATCGAATTGAAGAATATAAGAAATTTGGGAATATCTCCATGTCGATGAAAAAATACATCAATGTCATCGCCATCAAAAGAAGCGTAGGACAGACTATTTCGAATGGAGTCAAAAAAAAGAACTGGACGAGCAGGGAGTCGAACCCTGGGCTTCTCGCATGCAAAGCGAGCACTCTACCACTGAGTTACACGCCCTTCGAAACAAATTGGGTGCTTAAACCAGCTGGTTGGCAGTGTTTGGCTTAGTCTAGATTATATAGTTACTGCATAAAGTGGATCATGACGTCACCCATTGAACAATAAGTTTTGAAAGGACGCAAACAAAGAGGCGCCTCAAAGACAACGTTGTAATTCTTTGTGGTTTTTTCCCTTGTTTGGCCTTTGTCCGTAAACAAATGTATTATTACTATCATTAACATCTTCGGTACCCAAGGGATGCGATACTGCAAAGCAAGTGCTGATACTGATTTTATCTACTAATAGACTTGGCGATGCTCGACTGTACATGAGACTTAACCTAGGGATTTAGGTTGGCCTATCAGACCATTACTGATTTGTCACCGGTGTGCTCCTACTGGCCGCCTTAAACGGAGGGAGCAACGGCCCTGTGCCAGTTTCCCAGAACGCCGTTAGGTACCTACATTGCTAAATACTACCGGAAGCTAACGGGGTTCCTTTTGCTCGTTCCCATGTCCGCATCGGGCGACAGCATCTTGCCGGACATAACACACACAGAACCTCCTTTACATCTTCGCAAATCGCCATGGCTCCGCATAATATTCAAGACGAAGCGCCGTCGGAACTCAACGACGGGCCTCTGAGGACCGAAATACGACCGCCTACGCCGCCACCTATGTCCGCAAGCCCACCCCGAGTCGTGATTATCGGCGCCGGGTCGCGGGGTCACACCTATAGCCGCTGTATCGGCGAATCTAGCAACGGCGTCGTAGTCACCATCTGCGAACCAGATAAGTACAAGCGGGAAGAATTCGTGCAGAACTACATCCAGCGCGACGGCAAGAAGCTACCGGAGGGCTCTAGCTTTAATGACTGGCGCGATTTCGTCGAGTGGGAGGTACGCCGTCGCAAGCGCGAGGCTGCTGGAGATAAGGATGTGCCCGAGGGCGTCGATGCTGCCTTTGTGTGTGTTCGTGATGAGATGCATCACGATGTTGTTGTCGCTCTCGCCTCGTTAGACCTGCACATTATGTGTGAGAAACCACTCGCCGGAAACCTAGCCGAGTGCATCGCCATGTATCAAGCCCTAGCCCCTTTGCAGTCCCGCAAAGTCTTCTCTGTCGGCCACGTACTACGATACTCGCCGCACAACATTCAACTCCGCAAGCTGCTGCTCGAGGACCGCGCCGTCGGCGACGTCTTGAGTATCGTACATACCGAGCCCGTTGGATTCTGGCATTTCGCGCACTCGTATGTCCGTGGCAACTGGCGCAAAGAATCCACCACAGCGCCGTCTCTACTAGCCAAAAGTTGCCATGACATGGACATCCTGCTGTGGCTGATGTGCTCGCCGATGCGTCCCGGATCTGATGAGCCCCCGCATATCCCCTCCGAAGTCACATCTATGGGCTCATTGCAATTCTTCCGAAAAAGCCGGAAGCCCAAGGCCGCTGGCGCCGCAACGAACTGTCTCAGCTGCCCCGTCGAGCCGGAGTGCATATACTCGAGCAAGCGGATATACGAAAGCCCACGGCACCAAGGTCTAGAGACAGGCAACAGGCTCTGGCCCATCAATATCGTGCTCCCAGACATTGAGAGTTTCGGCGGCGACATCGAGCGCGCACGACCAGCGTTGCTCGGCCGTCTAGCCGAAGACTACGACGAGTCGACGCCGCAAGAAGAAATCGACGCCAAGAACTGGTTCGGGCGGTGCGTGTTCGAGTCCGACAACGACGTGTGCGACGAGCAAGTCGTCAACATAAAATGGGACGACGACCCCCTCCCCTCCTCCGCCGCTTCTTCCTCCGGCGACTCCGTCGGCAACCGAGGCGCCAAGCAAGCAACCTTCCACATGATCGCGCAGACCAAGAGGCAATGCGAGCGCTTCACCAACATATACGGGACGACGGGCGAGATCTACGCCGACTCGTACAAGATCGCCGTCGAGGACTACAAGACGGGCGCGACGCAGACGTACACGCCCAAGCTCGAGAGCGGGGGCCACGGCGGTGGCGACCACGGCATTACCCGCCAGTTCATCCTGGCCGTCGACCGCGTCAAGAACCACGGCTGGGAGGCTCCGTGCGCTCAGAGCGAGTTCATTGGCTGCAGCTTGGAAGAGATCATTCGTAGCCATGCCATAGTGTTCGCCGCTGAGGATTCACGGAGGGCGCGCAAGTACGTTGATTTTAGGGATTGGTGTGCTGAGAAGGACATCGCTGCCATAGCAGCGTCTTAGACCGAAACTATCGCTACGTTTTGGTTACTCCTATAAGCATTCCAAGGAGATTACTCTTTGCATATCTACTTAACCTAGCTATGCGCGGAGCTCTGGTCGTTCTGGCGTTTTTGATGCGTATCACGTTGGCATCTAATGAGTCAAGAAGTGGTTATGATGATACGAGCTCTCGAGTTCATTAGATTGTGAAAATTATGAATTCTTATGAATACAACAGCAAGCTTGATTTGTTACCTATTTCATATACCCGACCGCCTTGGCCTGCTATAATACATGTTTGTCCTGGTGTACTCATACAAACCCGAGGCACCGTGCCTCCCAAAGCAATTCGACAAGAATAAGCTTCCACCCATATCAGGAGAAGCACCTCCATATAATATTACAAATTCAAAACGCTTGAAGTATTCATTGTGAAGTCGGAGTGTTGGGTATCTCTACTCCACGGCTTCGCTGTAGCGATTCCAGATAATCCTGCAAGCCCTTCTCTCTTCGGCGTCGTACCGCCAGTTCCTGCTCTGTGTCCCCGGCTTCGCGATGCCAGGCTTCTAGCAGCTGCATATTCTCAAATACCTGTAACTCGCTAAAGCCACGTCCAGCCTCGGCAGTGTCGATAGCTCTTTCTAAAGCGTATCGAGCCAGCGCGTGTCGTGGATGATCTTTCACCGCGGAGCTACCCACGTTGCATCGGCTTCTATGAAATTGGGCAATGACACGCCACGCCACCCAGTTCGTCCAGTCGTACTGATCTGATACATCGAGCCGAAGGGCAACGCGAGCCAGTTTAACCGAACGTTCATCGAGGGGTCCTTTCTGCCAGAGGTACGCCACTGGCTCGATGAGCATCATCAAATCCGGCGAGTGAGATCTGCCGTGAGAATCAAATATTTCCGATGCTGATGCTACTACTTTCCGAAGGGATGGCAAGTTAGTCCTTGTCGAATTGGAGAGAATTAAGTCCCCCAGCAAATAAAAACTAATACATGGTGCGATAGTCTGTGAGAAATCATCCGTCTCGAGCAACATGTCCAATATGCTCTCCATACAGCTAAAGATGAAATCCACACCAGTTTCCAACGTATTATTACGGAAAACCTCGTGTATCGCAGTAAATAATCGGCAGAAGGTACTCGATGGCCCCAACACAGCTTCTGCGTACCCCGCTAAATACCTCCATAATTCTTTCGCCAGCCCATAATCGGGAGATATCACGCTGGCTATTAGTAAGTTAAACAGACCAAGGGCAGAGGGTGTTTTGATGAGTAAATGTAACGAGTTGAAAGCGCGCTGACCAAGCAGAGCACCAAGAGGATTATGGTTCCTCGAGAAGAACCAGCAAGCCTTACTGAAGTCTCTAGTAGCCTCGCATAATTCACCGTCGAAATAAGCATGGAAATCTTTCTCGAAGGATGCGGGTGATTCTAGCGAATCTCGCCAACCCAAGGTAAGATCCTTAAAACACGAGACGAGGACTTCCTGGGCGTGAAGGTGAGATGGTAAGGTCATATGCTGGGGGTCAACCGGCGGAGGCGTGAGTGCTCGTAGATATTCGGGTAAGTCGACGCCGGCGGCGGGTGTTATAAGTTCGAAACCTGAAATGCCCTTTCGCCTCATGTAAGTTTCGATATCAACCGACCTTCCGTGGCGACGAAAAGCAGTAGGCTTGCCCACAGCGCCGCGCTCGCGTTGTAATCGCAACATCATCGCCACGTCCTTCTTCTTGTTATTCTTAACGAATCCCCATTGTGCAAACTTAGCCTATACACGGTTAGCTTTGCTTTTCACAGTATTATTTGATGTGCTTTGTTTATTACCTTATACATACGGGGACTATGAATAAATTAGCATACGACTCTAACACGCGAGCAATACTCCGGTACGGATACTGACGTCGCTTTAAAGCCCTTCGCTTGCAGTATATCCATTAGCTCATTCAACGATTTGTTTTCTTCGATATAGAGTTCGTGTATCTCCTCCTTATATAGTTCCCATATCTCCGGTTGGAGATGGTGGCGCGTCGGGATTTTGCTGTACTGTACCGGATTCGCTGGGCGAACGGCAAGAGCCAAAGGGCCTGGTGAACAGCTTCCATCCTCTATTGCATATTTTCCCTCGTTCTTTGCCGTAGCCAGGCTTCTATACGGTAATAATGAACCCGAATTGCGAGGGCTAGCAGTTGCATCCGGCCGATCCTCCCCGGTACTATACGGCTCTGAAGGGGTTAGAGAAGAGCCGATCGTTCCGCCATACTGAGCTAAAGTAACACTAGAACCCGGACTCTCAATCTTCACGCTATAACTTGGAGAGGAACCATCGGTAGTAACGCCATCATGATCGGCGCCCTCTAGGGTTTGGCGTAGTTCATCTGGCTTCACCGCGGGTTTCAAATCCGGCCCCGCTGATTGGCAATGGGATGCTGGCCTCATGTGATGCATCAACGCGTGAGGTACTTGGACAACGGGCAGAACTTGGTAAAGAAGCTACATATCCTATACCACGTTTTCTAAGTTCGAACTGACCCAAGGGACTTGAAGAGTAGACGGGCGATTATGCCAGAGGAACCACAAGGTGAGGAATAGTAGACCAATAAATGTGGAAATTGACGGTGGCTTCGTGGGGGGTTTAAGACGCAATACAGATGGCCGAGAGAGGTAAACGCTTGGCAAAAGCACGTTAACGGATCCCGTTCTAGCGTCGTCGTCAGACTTCCTACCAGTCTATCATCATTACTTTAAGTACCTGATGAATAGAAATTGTATGAAGAAGATAAGAAGCAGTTATTCGTCGGAATTCGGTTGTATCGCATAGCTAAGTGATCAGCTTAGGTACGGGCTGGGCACTGTAAGGGATAGCGCAGCAAGACAGCCCGAAGGCCTAAAGGGGACCCGAAGGAGCCCGGACTAAGCTAGCGCTGCCCTGTCGGTACTTGTGCTACACGTGTATTTTCTCCAATAGGATGTACCTATGTATAAAACTGGACTGGTGAGCGCGGTAATCGGCAATCAGTAGGTAATCAGTAATCAAAGAGTTAGGTTAGGTACCTGCTTGGGGTCTAAGATGCAATAGATACCTGCATGTAGTGCTTACCCACGTGCCTCGCAAGCCAACAAGTATCGCGATAACCAAAATAGTCCAGCTGAAACGCTCAAGTAGACCAATGTGACGCAATTCTTCAAGGCTAAATGGTTTCCTAAATCCTACGGTTCGATACGACATGTATGTAGGCACGACATATGAGGTACCTTCAGCCGCATCCAAACTTGAGTTGTTGATCTCTGGTCGGTTCTTTCATCTTATGTACCTAATAAGGCAGGCAAATCCCACGTGGAGACTTGGCTAAGGCGTCTGGATATGTACGTAGTAAGAACATGCCGCATCTTTTAGTCATGGTTGGAATGGTTGGGATGGTTGGAGTTCCGAGATGGAGAGCTTCGTGTCAGCGGTGTTAGATGCGTTAGCTGTTACTAATATATTAGGTACGTTATGTATTAATGATGTATCTATCGCATGAGCCTTGCATAGGGGGGTTACACTATCTGCTTAACTAAAGGGCTTAACTAACATAAGTTAAATCCCTTACAGGTATTGTACCTAGCGGAGTTACCCCTGACCATTGCTTTCTCTAGGTCCGGCCTACCTATAGGTATTGTACCTGCCTACCTTAGGTACCTAATGTAAGCTGATAAGGCTGACATAGGCTGCATCCAAGTCCCCCACCTCCCCTTCCCCCCCTTATGCAGCTGTCTATATCTTTACCTAAGGTGTCTAGCGAAAGATACCCTTATACACCTCAGTAAACATCCCGAATCCCCCGGGTTCTACGCATTTACATCACCGCAGCTAAGAATTGTTCCCCCAAGCTCTAGAACGGCTCATTTGACATTGGAACCAACCTCGCAGAAAGATCAGGGTCCTCAAACTGGCGGTCGAATGGCCACATCGGACGATTAATCCGCTTATGCCCCAATCGTTCTAGATCTTGGTCAACACCACCAGGCGTAAGACCAAGCATCCAATCGTCAGCCATATCATATAATTCCGGCTCTAAGTATCCTATTTTGACGATGACGATATCTGCGGACCGGGGTGCCAGGTTTAATTCCGTGAAATCGCTTTCATGGTGGTACGGTTTGCGCAGTTTAGTCAGGATCGCGAAGACACTGCCAACCTGCAGCACCATCTCAATCTCTGCGTGGCTGTCGCCCTTTTTTATCGAATGTACTCGTCCTGTCATAGTGATGGGTCCAGCATGGATATTATCTACTTCTGCCCCAACTGTCACCGTCACCGTCGCCCCCACGCCTGCTTCGACCGCCTTTTGGACTGCTCCGGAGCCCGGTACGCTGGCATAGATGACTTTCGGGCCTGATTCCGACTTGAATTCCGAACGTGCGAGAAGCTGCGTTAGGCCCCAGGTCACATCTCCGGAACCTCCGGCCGTAGGATTGTCGCCCGAGTCTGAGATAAAATACGGGCGTTTATCCGATGCCAATGCCGCGTCTAGGCATTCTTTAAATGACCCCGTAGGTGCGACGAAGGTAAAGTCCTTGTGCGAATCCCAAAATAACCGTGCTAGTCGCTCTGCACCCCTGGCAGTCGCCTCTCTGTCCCAGCCAGTTACTACAACCGCAGCGCGGTTTCTAGGCTCGTCAGCCCAAGCGTAGCCAACCCATATAGCCGCGTCTAAAACCCCTTCCGCAGCCTCAACCTCAGGCACCGCGGCGTAGATATGTGTAGCCGGCTCGTCCCTCGTGGAAGTCTGTTCTCCAGGGAGTAGAATCGGAATCGGCACCCAAGCCTTAAACGGGCGCACAGTTTCTTCGCCATTCGCCCGTCGACGAAGCAGCTTAAGCAAATTCCTGCAAGCCCTCTCTTTTGTTTCCGCAACGTCTACATGAGGTGCCGTGCGGTAGCAGGTGATTAGATCCGTCTGATGCGCCAGTTCTCGCGAGACGTTACCATGTAGGTCCATCGACGCCGACACCAAGACGTCAGATCCGATGACCTCACGGCAGCGCTTTAGTAACTCGTATTCTGCATCGTCGAGACCCTCAACACACATCGCACCGTGTATATCGAACCAAAATCCGTCAAGTTTAACTGCAGCCACTATCTCCTTAAGACGGCTGAGTATCTCCGAAGAGAGCGACTCAAAGGCATCTCTGGTCACAACACCGCCTGGTAAAGCATGGCCAATAAGTGCACCGCGCCACTCAATAGCATCGCCTAGCGGTGTGCCGGCTTGAATGAAGGGGTATTTGTCTATAATCTCTGTGCCACGCCGGGGGTGAAATGCCGGCGCGAGGGTCCTCGATGGTGTGAAAGTTGATGTTTCGCAGGCTAAACCGGCGATAGCGACAACTGGACGACGAGCCATAATTATACCTTATGTATTGTACCAATCTTACGCCAGGCCAAGTCCCAAAGAAAGACCATAGCATAAGACTGTTGGTTTCTTGACGAGATATCTTCCCCGCTTCCCCGCATAGGGAAGCTCTTCTATCAGAACATGTTATGTATAAATGTACCTATAACTAGGCTTAATAAAGACTAATAGGATTACGCTTAAGCGATATTATCATCTAGGTCAGCCATTTATGTACGAATAGTAAACTTGGCTATCTTGTGGAAATGGGAATCTGTTGGATTGACTATGTATTACGTAATAATATGAAAAGGAATGCAAATAACGATCGTGTTCTGATTGGTTGTTCTAAGGTAAGAGAGGAGGGGTTCCCCCGAGTGGGGAAAGATATCTATTGTACAGATGCGTGGGCTGTGCGTGGGCGGTGTGTGTGGGCATAACCCTGGTCATGTGACGAGGTCACGTGACCGTTATCCCAACAGAATCTAATTTTACTTTTACTCAAGTATGTTTTAACAGCTACCTACCTCTTGATCTAATTAAAATTTAGAACTTTCGATCATATTTTTATATAAAAATGAAACTATCATTCACGGTTACCTAATTATAAATACTCATATAACAATAATAGCCCTCATTTATACAAATATCTCTGCATACATGTCGACGCTCTTATATAATTATTAGTTATCCGTTGCTCAGATAAATGGTAAGCTGTTTAAGTAAATGCATGTAAGACGTATGAGTATATTTTAATAGACATATATATTAGCTTGGTATGAGTTTACTCGCTCTTATCCTAGGTTATGATCTGTAGACCTTTATCTCGAGGTGCGGGAAAGATACAGATACATGTTCCATCTAATAACCAAGTCTTTTAAGTCTTTGATTGGTTGATAGAGGTAGAGTATGCCATAAGATATGGCACTTCCATCATATTATAGTTATAGGGGGAACGGGTTAATCTAGATATCATTGAGGGTTAATACCTTACTTGTAAGATTTTAGGGGTTTAGCAATTGTCTAGGTTAAGCAAACAGCTTACACGAACATGTTTCGAAAGATATTTCCGGGGCTCCCTTAGAAACTGCATAAATAATATCTTAATTTCAGCATGATAACATTATACATAACATACCTATATGTATTCTGCATCAATTGGAAGTACTTCTTTGCTATGCACCTTAAGACTTTAGAATCAAATTAACCATCGAGGAACGACGGATAAGTAATTTTTAAGACTCGACATATTACTCCCTCGCGATCATCCTCCAACACCCCGAAGAAGTCTGGCGTACAGTCGTGTGCCCCACCGGGATTTTCTGCTCCTGCGCCGCTTGAAGATCTGTGTCAAAACGCTCGAGGGTTTCGTGACCCCGGATCTCATCACGTACAACAATTGATAGATATCATTTATTTATATCATCTTTCTCGGTCTCTATTTGAGATGGCCCATTATCTCGGGATCTCTGTAGTGATATTGCCTACCGTTTTTGCTATAGCAATACTCAGAACACTACGATTATTCTCTAACTACCTACCTATTGTACCATAGAACTTCGCCGTAGCTTCGGACTCGGGATCATCTTCGCTTATGCCTTTCGGAGCTTTTATATAGGGGCTCTAATGTAACATCCCTAGCCTGTACTGAGATAATTTGATGAGCCAAGCTTCAAGGCGAAGCGTTCACTAATAATATATTCACTTAACGCGCCCAACTCTTCTTTACTATAATACCCAACATCCGTACCTAGGTTAGGTAGGTAGGTATATGCACACATAGATTACATAGCGTAGAAAACCATAATAACTATCTTATCGCTGTTACTACATAGTCTACGATTATTCCTCCCGTATATGGAACCCAACGATACTTCGTATATAGCCTTGTGGGGCGCATGTTAACGCAGCTCTCTGGCACAGCCAAGGGTATAGATAATTTGACAACCAACACAAATATGATACCCATTCTTCAGCGGCAAAACTCCCCATCTAATAGGGTAGCGGGCACTTAACTAGCTGGACATGGCAGTCTCACATAAATAATACCCCGAGACAAGATGTACGGCATTGTCCTCCTGATGGTACTTGTCCTTCTAACCCATTGATGTACTGCGTAGGCCGTTCTGCGCGTAGGGGGCTGGCGAAGAATTAGGCGCAGAGTCTATCTTGGGTCATCACTATCATCTGCTGTTCCCGTTTACGCCACATAAAAGGGATCGCATTACCTATTATACCAGATACGAAAACGATGGCTACACCAACTGAAACCGTTGGTATCATAGCCGCGACCTCACTTGGTCCGTTGACCACGACGTTCTCGCCGCCCTCGTCGTGCCTCCCACCTAGCCCGTATTCGGACATAGCATACGGCATAGAAATCTACAAAGTAGGCACTGTAAGCGCAGACGATGGCTGTCTGCCTTCAAACTGGGTGGTCAACGGTTATTACTCGCCGGGGGTATGCCCACAAAGTTACACGGCGGTTTGCGAGTTGTCAGGTAACAATGTCGCAACAACAGTCTGCTGTCCATATTACGAGTACGTTGCGTGTCAATCCGAGCTCCAGCCTTCGAAAGTAACTAACTAACTAAACTTGTATAGTCTCTACTTCTTTCAATGCTGGCCGTTGGTGAAATATGGCAGCTACGGATGTGGATTCTACACCACCTTTGAAGGGACTCGCTTGACGACTATCTTCGCACCCAGCATCCAAATAATAAATGCGGCGAGTGACGCAGATGGTCTTACCGGATCCCCTTCTTCTCAAGAGTCAACAACTACAGCATCGGTAACATCCAGTGGAGTGATACCGACCGACTCAACGAACACGATCAACTCGAACCTAGTCGCCTCGAATACAGCCGATCCCGGTATTTCTGCCGTAGACACCTCTACACAAAACGATTCGGACTCGTCAAACTCAGATGTTCGGGTATTAGGAAACGGAGCTGTTGCGGGGATTGTAGTGGGAGTTATAGGCGCCGTGATACTTGGAGCTGCGGGTACATTTTTCTACATGCGTCGAAGGTTGGCGAGCAGCCCGCCGCCTTCATCCCCGTCACCACCTCCTCTTCCGCCTCGAAATCCCGAATTAGCTATACACGAGCTCCATGATAAGTCCAGACCGCCAGAGATGCCAGAGTCAAACACGCTTTACGAGCTCCATCAACCGCATAGTCAATCGGAGATGCCTACGTGGAGCGAAGATAACCCCCAGGGACCCAACAAACCAATGGCATGGGAACTGCCCGCATAATGTTACACCGTTCAATTTTGGCATGAAGAAGTAAAAATCCACTGCGCGGAGTAGTGGCGTTTCGTCGTCGTGGGGGGTTCCGGTCTATTGAATTCAGAGCGAGGCGTATATTTCAGGGCCGGCATATGCATATAATACCATCATTTAAATATAACTCTTGGAAGCCTTATAGGGCAGATCTATACATTTGAGCTTGGCTGGCTCGACCACAGGAAGCACTTACTAAACCATTCTCAGTGTACATATCGAACGACTAATGGGTGTGTCGAGATAGTTGCATTGGAATAATTAGCCGAATGAGCTGAAGACAGCATCAAGTTTAGTGTGACTTAAGGAGAAATTCACGAGAGCTCAAACCCCTAATAGGTCATAATTTGGTCACATTAGGATTTTGTATCATAGTAAGCTCCAAGGCCAATATCCCTATTGGCCCAGTTAGAGCTAGTTTCGTAATTTTCAGCTCACCCTTTTTGTAATTGAACCCACTACTACAAGTATGTAAAGACTGGGGAGACATCAGTCTCGGGCCTTTATAGCAGCACCAGTGTAAGCTAGCCAAGGCTAGAATGATCAGATAGTTAGATTAGGTTCATCCGAACGCATCGGCTGAGTGACGGCCTTTATTTACATACGAGGATCTCATGTCTGCAATATTAGTACCTACCTCTAAACCCACGATCTTTGACATCTGATCTGGTATCTGAACTATTGCGTGGCTTCTATCGAGTTGACGTAAGAAATGCTTATTCTCCGACTAAAAAAGCTTGATTTGAAGTCATAACAGCTTCATGGGATATATGACAGGGACATCCTGTCCTGTTCCTGTTCGAGCCTGAGGGCCGCCACAAGAGAATACCGGGAGAGTCCCAGATAGAAGTATGTGTGGTGATGCGGAAACTTTGGATATAACGTTTCAATTCAGTCGAGCCCCTTTATTACCTTTTATCACATGTAACCCGATGAAATATTGCGTATTTATTCGGGCGGTATGATACCCGGAGTAATGAATCATATACTATCCCCGAAGAACATGTCTGTCTTTCGTCTCTTGAGATTTACTTAAAGGCCAAGTAGCCTTCTCGATAGCCTGTCTTCCTTAATCGAGAAATACAAACTGCAAAAACAAGATCATATAAGTCGAGTCATACTACAAACATTATTCAATCAACATGGACAAGCTGAAGAAGGCAAAGGACTCTGTAACCGGCCAGACGTGCGTTGCCTCTCCCAACACGACTCCCTTATATGCGAAATAACTCATAATTGAAATAGTGCGGCCAACCAGACTGCCCAACAGCCCGGTAAACATGCCACCAAGGACACTATGGTCGATTCCAGTATGTTTTGGTCTTTACTCTAGTATCGTGCAGTTAACTAAAGACATACCCTCAGTGGTGGATCGAGAGGCACAGAAGAAGGGCGTTCCTAGCGGAGCCGACCCGATGATTAACAACGTCGTCAACGATGAAGTCAATAAGTTTTAAGCACAGGCTTCGGAGCAGTACGATATGGAGTCTTGATTGATATTATCACCATTACATAGTACATATTCGCCAAATCATCTCCAATTTGCTTAATAGCTCCCCCGTAAATTATTTTCATATCATCGTCGTGATGTGTCCCCCTGTACGATAACTACTCTCTTGAAACATATTTATAATAGTTAATACTATATATACAAAAACATACCGTCGCCGCATTTCACACCGTGTTCCCCGTGAGAACAATGTAGCCGCAGATCCACCGTCAGCATGTCCTTAACAAGAGAGAAATCCGGGGCACAACGTTATTGCGGACACGGAGTACACAAACAGACATCGTTCCCGAAGCCACGCAGAGCGAGAGGTAACGCGAATACGACAGGCGAGCTACGAGATCCGATTATTAGCATCTAAGCACATTGCCGTATGGTGATCTCCCTCTGTTGCCAGTAAAGAGGTCGCACTGACATGAACCTATGTCACTATAATCAACGTAGAAAGATATAAAAAATACCTTTCATAATAGAACTAACCAAGAAACTACCCGTAGGAATTCAACAGCACAAGCACCTAAATACCTGATCTTAAGCCAGGTGATAATATCACATATCATAACTTTTATTCAGCATACTACGTGCCGTACTCCATATATAACTAGAGCTATATCAATCATACTTGATATCGAGCGACCACAACCACTGACCACCAAACAAACCACAACCCTAGGTTAACCATACTCGCGCTTCTAATTTTCGCCCGCCCCCAGCCAACAACCTACTACAACCCCCCTCATACCTCCTCACCAACCTAGACCTCATTACTCGGATACTCGACCGTATGACTCGGCAAAAACTCCTCCTTGATGCTCCTCAGACTAACAAACCTGCTGATGATATTGATGCTCCCCGCCTTATCGTTCGTCCCGCTAGCCCGCGCGCCGCCGAACGGCTGCTGGCCCACCACCGCGCCCGTGCTCTTGCAGTTGACGTAGAAGTTGCCCGCCGCGTTGCGCAGCGCGTCCTCCGCCGCGCGGATCGCATGCCTGTCCGACGCGAACACGGATCCCGTGAGTCCGTACTCGCTCGTGCCATCCACCAGCTTGCACACGTCGGCGAACGCCTTCTCCGCGTCGCCAGCCGTGTCGTCGTACACGTACACGGTCAATATCGGACCGAAGAGCTCCGTCGATAGCAGCTTGTGCGTCGGGCTGCTGGCCTGGTAAACGGTGGGGTGGATGAAGTATCCCTTCGACCCGTCGTACTTGCCGCCAGCTAGGAGCTCCAGCTCAGGGTCGTTTTTTGCTTCGTCGATGACTCGGGTTAGCTTTTTGAAGCTGGGCTCGTGGATCACGGGCCCGATGAAGTTCTCGGGTTTCCACGGCGCGCCCACCTTGAGCGCGCTGGTCTCTTTGACTAGCTTCTCCTTGAACTCGGGCCAGATCGACTTGGCGACGTACGCGCGGCTCGTAGCGCTGCACTTCTGACCGGAGTACTCGAAGGCGCCGCGGACAGTCTGGACCACGGCATTTTGGATGTCGGCAGACGAGTGGACTAGGTGGAAGTTCTTGCCGCCGGTCTCACCTACGATGCGGGGGTAGCCTACGTACCGGGCCTCGGCGATGCCCTGTCCGATCTGACCGTACAGCTTGCGGAATACGGCCGTGCTGCCGGTGTAGTGTAGCGCAGCGAACTGCTTGTGCGCGAGTATCGTCTTAGTCACCTCTTCGGGGTTTCCAGGCACGAACTGAATTACGTTCTCAGGTAGTCCTGCTTCGAGCAGGATCTTGTGTAGTAAATGACCCGCTGCAACCGCAGAGTCGGATGGTTTCCAGATCACTACGTTACCCAAAAGCGCAGGTGTTGCTGCCAAATTGCCCCCGATAGCAGTGAAGTTAAAGGGGCTGATGGCATAGACAAAGCCTTCCAGCGGTCGGTATTCGATACGGTTCCATAAACCAGGCGAGTTGTGGGCAGGCTGTTGCGCGTACAATTCTTCTGCGTATTGGACATTGAAGCGTAAGAAGTCGCATAACTCCGCTGCAGCGTCGATCTCGGCCTGCCAAGCATTCTTGCCCTGACCGAGGATTGTAGTGGCCATAATTTCATATCGATACTTGGTGGCTATGAGATCTGCTGCCTTAAGGAAGACGGCAGCCCTGTCCGCGAAAGGGAGCGACTCCCATGCTGGCTTCGCGGCTAAGGCTGCTTCGATGGCTTTTTTAACATCGGAGGGACCAGCTGTGGAATAACTAGCCACCGGCGTGTTGTGGTCGGAAGGGTTGTGTTGTGTAGATTTTTGCGATGTTTTGACCTGTGCGGGAGATTAATATACGGAGCTCAAGGGGATATTGGCGTTCGTATTATACATACCTCCTTGCCCCCTATCACGAGCGGAATTTCTATTGTGCCTTTCTTCTGTTGAGTCTCAATTGCAGCAAGGAGTCCTGCTCTTTGCGCCGAGCCTTTCGCATATATGTGCTATGCGTCTTGTTAATTACTTGACTGGTAATTGGTGAGACTGAAAAGCATGTAGAATGAAAAAAACGTACGTTAGGTTCATTTGTAACTTTGGGTATCTTGAAAGTAGCCAGCGACGTTGTTCTGGCGCTCGTCGTGCTCAAAGCTCTTGTATTCTTGGCGGACCGAAGAGCCGGTAGACATTTAGAGCAAACTCTTGAAGAAAGAGTTGGGCTTTGCATTGCCCTCACAAGGCCATAGCCTCTGGGTGTAGACGCCATGTCGAATATATGAAAGAAGAGGGAGCAATTATTACCGGGTATCTTAGTATGTTACTATATATCAACAAGTTTTCATCGCCGGATATTGCGTGCAACGTAGCTACTTATCAATAAACAGAAATCAACAAGACGATGCTTCATCGGCGCTTCAACTCCGATGATTATGATGTGCGAGCTCGCTTTGTTACGGCATAAACGAACAACTTTGCGGGGCAGAGAAACGCGAGGTCCCAATTGAAAGGAAGCACCAATTAGGAGCTTGATATTTGCTGTAGACGAGCCGAATTCGGCATGAGCTTCTTGAGCCGCCTTGCTAATCCTAGTTCGACTTATAAACTGGAAGCTAGCATCCGATTATAACGGAGAACAACTAGGCTAGATTCGTATCTCGGCGTCGGACCTGCTGGGTCTTATCAATTCTTCAATAATTTTTACCATGTATCGACTCGTAAACTGTGGAGTAATCTCGGCATATGAACCTGGGCTAGGCTTCTTGGATAATAGGATAGCGAACGATGCGAAAACGCCTTTTTGCACACTATAACAAGCTGCCAATGGTGATATCAGCAGTGGAGTATAAAGTACATTAACTATGGAAGGGGATTCAGAAACTAATTTGTTATAGTAATCCTCTTTCTGGGGTATTATCCTTCGTCCCTGATTTTTTTTTTTAAAATACGACCTTGTATTCCTAATTCATTCTTGAAATATACCCGACAAGTAGATGGTATAATAGACCGCGTAGCATATGCGCCCTTATTTCGGCTACGGCCTGTGGTTGTACGCCAACCGCACTCTAGCTAGGCTTGTCTCTAGTGAGTAGCTTCAGGCGCCGAAACAGGTAACGAAGGGGCAGTACTTGGAGCAAAAGAGCTCGCAGCTCCAGCCGTGTCTGGTCGGCTTCGGTGGTGGCGAAGATGATGAGTGTGCGCGTTGGTACCAAACTTTCCAGCTTCGTAGTTAAGAACTGGAATCGTTAGACCGTACGGTTCTGTCTTGCCCTCCTTATCATGCTGGTCAATTTCTATTCGAATGCAGACGTCGAGACCACCATCGTTATCTTTGCCATGCGTCTCGAAATTCGCGGCCTTGTGCTTAGTGCCCGCGCCGAATTCACCTTTGGATAAGAA